TTTATTGTTATCAAAAGCGTGCATCTTGTGATAATATTAATTAAAAAACAACAATTTTTATATAAATTAAAAAAAATATATAAATTGCTATTTTTATTACCTTTTATGTTTTCCAGTATCTATCAATCAATGAGGAAGCTAATTGAAACAGATGAAATATGAGTTGGACTTTATCACTACAAATCTCTTTGTTTTTTCTATGTTCCACTCTCAAAACATCCCTGATTTCATTGTTTGACATCAACGACTTAATCATCTTTCTACTTCATGTATTTTAAAATTTTTACATATTTCTAATTAATATTTGGCTTGTAATACATATGCTAGAGCAAAACACACTTGTTTACTTTTTTTTTTAATACAAATAAAAGTACATTTTATTTCAATTGAATTTTTTATGATAAATGAAGTGGTTATCCTATTACATCACATTAAGGAGCACATTATTTTTTAACAATCGTGGATGATTTCTCATGCACAACATGGGTCTATCTCATACACATGAAATTTGATACTTTTACTTGCCTTATAAACTTTTTTTACCATGGTTAAAACTCAATTTAATTACATTATTTGCCATGTGCACACTAATAATGGTCAAGAATTTTTGTCCAATAAACTCCAAACATTTTTTCATGGTTATGAGATTCTTCACGAACGCACATGTGTGGATACACCTTAATAAAATAGTGTTGCCGAACAGAAACATCCTCATCTGCTTAATGTGACCCGGTGTTTACGTTTTCAAGCTAATCTTCCCACCTTATTTTTAGGTGAATATATTCTCATAACCACTTATTTAATTAACCGAACTCCTTCCCCTAGCTTGAAACATTAGTCCCTTTACAAGCTCCTCTTCAAAAAATGATCATTACATACATATTTACAGGTGCTTGGTTGCTTATGCTATGCCCAAACTCCTCGTCAACATCGAGATAAATTCTCTCCTTGTGCTTCACATTGTGTTTTCTTAGGCAATCCTGTTAATCATAAAGCTTATCATGTATATGATCTGGAAAATCACAAGATCTTAATTTCCCGTTATGGTACTTTTAAAGAGCATAATTTTCCTTACCACCTCATACCTCTAAATCCTGCAACATTTCCAGTCCTTTCATTTCTAATCCCTGATATTCCCTCTTCATCTAATTTACCGATATCATCACCTTTCTCTTCCATATTTCCTCCCTTACCACTGACATCACCATCTTCTCCTTCCTTACCATTTTAAGATCCCATTTCATGACTAAAATTAGCTACTATATGTCTACTTTTCTCTTTCAAAGTCTCTCACAGCTTCTTCAGTTTCGTGATTTTCCTCAGGTACAACTCATTGTCTTTTTTTTTTTTTTATCGTACCATCATTTTTCTAACCATCATCTAGCTTTCCTTTCTGCATTATCTCAACATCCCAACCCCACCTCATATTCTCAAGTTATGCGTCATCCTCATTGGCATGATGCCACTGAAATTCAAGCCTTAGAAGCAAACCATACTTGGATTCTTTAACCTTTTCCATCTGGTAAACAACCCATTGGTTGTAAATGGGTGTTCAAAACCAAATTTCGGGTTGATGGATCCATAGAGCGCCACAAAGCTCGCTTAGTGGCCAAGTGATATACTCAGATAGAAGGTTTGGATTATCATGACACTTTTGCTCCTGTTGCTAAACTCAGTATTGTTAGATGTATTCTTGCAGTTTCTATAGCTGGACATGAAATCTTTTCCAGTTGGACGTTAACAATGCCTTCTTACATGACAATTTTAATGAGGAAGTTTATATGTCTTCTCCACTAGGTTATTCCACACCAACAACGACTCCTATTTTTCGTCTTTAGAAATCCATCTATGGCCTCAAGCAAACATCTTGCAATTGGTTCTTTAAATTATGCTCTATTTTGCTTGTTACGAGTTTCACCTAATCTCAGGCTGATCACTCACTCTTCAAACTCTTTCAGGGTCAGTCTTTCACTTTCATAATGGTTTATGTTGATTATATTCTTCTAGCAGGTAATGATCTCTCTGCCATTAACAACTTTAAGACCATGCTCGCTCATCACTTTCAAATCAAGGATCTTGACAAATTAAAATACTTTATTGGACTCGAAGTTGCTTATTCTCTCACTAGTATATTCCTGAATCAATGCAAATATGCTCTTAACATCCTTGCTGATAGTGGCCATCTTGGTATTTGTCGCGTCCTACTTTTCCCATAGAATAAAATCTAAAGCTTAATAATGCTGATGGTGATCTCCTTCCTGATCCAAGCTTTTTCCGATGACTTGTTGGGCATCTTATCTACCTCACCATCCCCATCTTGACATCATGTTTCTAGTCAACATTCTAAGCTAATTTATGCATCAGCTGCGACAACCACATTATGATGCTGCTGTCCACGTTCTTCGTTATATTAAATTCACTCTAGGCTAGGGCTTATTCTTTCCCATTTTCAGCAATCTTCAAGTCTTAGTTTACTCTGATTTAGACCGGGTTAGTTGTCTACTCACTCGCAAATCTACCATAAATTTTTTCATTCAGCTTCACACCAGTCCTATTTTCTAGCGCATTAAAAAGCAACAAACCATCTCTCACTCTTCTGCTGAAGCTGAGTATCAGGCTCTTGCTTCCACTACTTGTGAACTCACATAGCTTAAAACACTCCTTCATGATCTCGACGTTCACCATTCCAAACCCATACTCTTATACTGTGATAACGAGACAACTCTTCATATTGCTCAAAACCCTGTTTTCCAAAAGCATACAAAACATATAAAAATTGATTGTCATGTTGTTCGTGAGAAGTTATAATCTAGCTTTATTACCACCAGACACATATCAACCTCCAATCAGTTTGTAGATATCTTCATCAAAGCTTTAGGATAAGAGCACTTCAAAGCATTATCACACAAGTTGGGCATTACGAATCTCCATGCTCCAACTTAAGAGGAACTATCAATACCATATTTGCATACCATATCTACACATTCTATATATAACTTATTATCCAATTATTAAAAATTTATAATTAAGCTTTATTCTTGGTTGACAATTGTTTAGGTTTTATTCTTGCATCTTGTCTCATTTCCCCTTTATTGTATACCAGTTGTAAAGCAAGAGTAATATACACAACAAAACAGGAATATCTGAACTTTACATATTTCATCAGTACATTTTGCAACCCAATTGTCAAACTAACTTTTTACTACTGTACATTTTATATTACCTTTTGTTTTAATATTGTTTATATAACTATAATAACATTTCTATTATATAAATACGTCAGTTCATGAATCACCCATCTGACACGACGGGAACTAGCCATATGTTATGGCCCATGCTACGGCCTGGGGGTGTCATGGATAAGACTTTGAAAAAATTTTCATTTTAGTCCTAAAAGTCTCATTTTTTTTCTAGGTATACCTAAAACTTAAGCGTCTTCATAAAAAAATTATACATTTTATGCTTTCACGCACATACACGACCTGCTACTATACAGCCATCATTATTTTATCATGTTATTAAATACAACCTAACACTATTAAACCTTAATTCCTAAAATCTTAACTAGTCCACTTCTGTTGAATGATAATAAAATTAAGTTTAATGTAAGAAACCAATGCTTTCTAAAACTTGATCAAGAATAAATTTAACCTTTTATAATGTAAATAATGTAGGATTTCAAGTACAGAAATAAGTTGAAAAAATCAATCCGAAAGCATAAATGTACATTGCAATCTGATATGTAATAAGTTTAAAAAGTTCATTTATAACTCCATAAGTTGATGGTCATCTTGAAACAGCTACAGGCTGTTTTCAAAGCTAAAATCCATTATAAAATCTTGTTTTTAAATTATTGAAATGGTATATCATTTGGAATATACATAATTTACAATAAATTATCGAGATTTCATTTAATTATTTTATTGAGTTTGTTTTTAACAAACACCCTTTATCTTTTTGCTGTAGACTCTTGTCAGCATGAAGAAAATAATAATAATATGTCGGTGTCTCAGTTGTTAAAAGAACTATGGAGGATTTGACATCCTAAATTTAGAGGCATCAGGGGTTCAAGACCTTGGAACATCAAGGGCGCTGCACACGACGAGCTGGTTCAAGATGAAGAGCAGAGCGGCGATATAAAGAGAGAGAGAATACTCATGGGTGGCGTGTTTGCTGCCATGTTAGGTTCGTAGAGAAGTGCAAAAGAAAGCCTGTTGCAGAGAGACAAAAACCGAAGGAAGAAAACCAAGAGCATTAGCCTGTCTCCCTAAATGACGCAGTCGCATCACGCCCCATTTCCAAGAAGACACCACCACGAGTAGCTTTAAAGACATAAACAATACCCTGCCATTGGACCCACAACGATGACAATCAAACGGCAGGGAATAGGGCTTTGAAAAGAAGTCAAATCAAACGGCTATGTATTAATTCAATCAAAGGTCTTAGCTTCAATGAAAGCAGCACGTACCTTCAAACAGTCTCCACCAACCAATCGAAAGCTTCTTTCCTCTTGCTTTCTCGAAAAAGCTTCGTACTCCTCCCTCCAAAATCCACCCTTATTAACACACTTAAGCTGGCAAATCGACAAACAAAACAAGCTGAGGGTACTCTATCCGGTTTCAAGTTTGTTTTTTCAAAGAATAATTACTTCTAGCGTTATGTATCTTAAAATTATTAAAAATTTATATAATCATTAATTTTAAAATTTATAAATTAATTAAAATGCATACAATCTAACTTGGATTCTATTCTTTAATTCTCTTCCTGCTGCTTGCTTGCTTGCAGCGTGGTCGTGGTTTCAATTATACGCGTGTTTTTATATTAAAAAAATATCATTCAGGTTTTTAAATTAAAAATATTAAAATAATATTTTTAATTTTAAAACATGGCTAGACAACGGCACCGCATTACTGAAAATACCCTTTATTTTTACTGGGTGTTACCCCCACCCTATTATTTTTGGGTAAAAATTATGGGGCCATTTGTTATAGCAAAGGAAAACCACTCCATGTTTCTTTTTCTTTAATGAGTGGTTGGGTGTGCGTCTACAAAAACTGGTAGATTTTGTTAGAGGAAAGGACACTTGTGTACACGTGTCACCGACACCTGTACATCTTGCATGACAGAGAGAGAAGGTGAAGTGCTCCTCTACAAAGCCAAGCAGTTTGAGTTCCTATCTACTTCCTTTTCTTTTGGTCTGGTGAGAGTGTGTGGGTAACAGGAGAAGATAAGAGAGGTACATACACCGAAGGGTTCTTTCTCTCTTCTCGTTTCTTGACCTTCTTGTGGTGGCTATTGTTCCTTTGTTCTTTTGATCTCTTGGAGAGAAACCCTAAATCTTGATTGGGTTTTGACATACAAAAGAGAGCCAATTGTAGATTTTTGGCAACTTTCCTTAAAAGGGTATCCGTTGTTTCTCAGATCTGACTCATTCTTTTGTACATTTTATGCTCTCTCTTTCTTTCCATTTTTGGGTATGTTTTATCTTCCACTGGGAGCTCAAAACTAGAACAGAAAAGGTTTTGCTTGCTTGTTTTCTTTCCCTTTTTTTTTTTCCAGCTTCTGGGACATTAGAAATTGACAGAAGAGAGTGAGCACACAGAGGCATATTTGTATAAAATTATACCATTGCTTTTGCGTGCTCATTTCTCTTTCTGTCACTTCCAGAGCCGGAATCTGATCTCTTCTCTCTTTGATGATCATCTTTTGGCCTGTTTTTTGCCCCAGAAAATAATTTGTTTCTCTCTAAATCTTTTTTAATTCCCTCTCTTTACACACCCAAACAAAGAGAACTCCTGGAGATGAAAAGATGGTGGTGCATCGTAGGCAAAAAAGGAAAGGAAGCAGCAAGATATCCACTTGGGGTTTCGTTTTTGTTGTTTCGATTTTATTAGTTTATTGTGTATTAAATTGTTGTTTAGTTTAATGGCGTTGCTTTTGATGGTATTTAAGACTGATTACTGTGCAACTTATAGCGGAAAAACACTGTGTAGAGTAGTATATATATACATAGCATGGGACCGTTCCATTCGCGAGATCTCTAGCTAAGTTTTTCTGAGCATGGTCCAGCTTACTTGCAAAGCAAAAACCGTTCTTTTCTTTTCTTTGCTCGTCTCTTGCGCATGCGATTATGCTATGTACTCGAGATACGCATCTGATATGACCTTGTTTTCACCTGAATCTGGCAAGAATCTAGTAGCTTGTACTTTTTTTTGTGAAAATGGGTTTTCCTTTTTATTGGCTCAAAACCCTAGTCTAGCTGCAGATAGGGTTGCTTGTTGTACGAGTACAAGAAGGGGTTGCCGGTGAGTAGTCTTTGCTTTGCACTTGGTAAAACACTGATCTGATCTTTTTGCATTGGCTCTTGGAAATGGGTTTTGTTTTACATTTGTGTTCTTGTTATGGTACATGTTCGATCTGATGTGAATGTGATATTTCTTGTACGAAGAAGAGACAGAAAGTCTTTAAACTTATCGAATGATGTTCTTTCCAGAAATAGGAAATATCTGCAGCCATAGTTGCTCTTTGTTGTAGTGTTTTTTTTTTTTTGAGCTTTTGCGGATAAGCCATGGATAGTCAACTCATTTATCATGGAAGGGACAAAAGCAGGTCTGCAAGCACTTCAGATAGCAGACATTCAGCATTTAGAGCACAGACATCTGTTTATTTTATGTAGTTTTTTACTAGTAAGGTACTTTCTCTACTGTATATTATGCTAAGTGTAATCTCTACTTCATTATTATCTGCTTCATTATTATCTTCTTTTGTTTGCGTAAGGATTATAATTTGAACTTATACATGGTTTTATCTATAAAACAAATCATCTTGGTTTGTGATTTTTGCATTGCAAATTTAAGCAACCAATCACATGGCTTGTTATTCTTGTTTTCAAATTGAAACACCAACCAGTTTCTTTCTTGTATTCTGGATTCACATCAAGACATAGTCCAAGATTGTTGACAAGATTAGAGAAATGAAGGTGTGTTATCAAGCCAAAGATCGAAGTTTCCGAATGCTGTGTTCTACCTTAGTCTGCATGGTCTTGATAAACTGTAAGTTATGATACAGCATGAGTTTTGATTAAACATTTACTGAAAATTCTAGAGACATTTTTCAGATTTCTCGTCTTTTGATAATTCCTTTTTATCTGTTGTTGTCATCATTCTTGGTTTCAGCAACAATCATATAAATTGGATTGAACTCTGTGCTACACTGCAAGAAAATTTCATTATTTTCTATGTAGAATCAGAAAGAGTTGATCTCTAATTTTTTGTGTTTTGACTGCAATACAACATAACATTTTGTTTGTTATATCATGGAAGGGTCATCCCGAAGAGTATGAGCATGGTGATAGTTTTGGATGATGACTTAAGGGCCTTCAATTGCTTTAGAGAACAAATGGTGGCAATGATCCATGGAGTGTTTAATAACTCGCGCGTTGTTTGCCAAGGTAACCATTTTTTTAATCTCTTCAATTCTTTTGAACAACGAGACTCAGTTAAATTCTTGAATTTTAAAGTAGTTGATACTGCTATTCTAGTAGTTCAATTCTTGAAATGCTTTGTGTGATAGTTCATGTTACATCTTTCCAACATTTCGATTTCTTTGTAGCATGTCCTACTTCTACTACTTCAATTAAAAATTATTTGTTTATATCAAGTTGCCTAAAGGATCCGACTCTATATGTAATCATCTCTTGCACAAGATGCTTAATTAGTTCACCAATCCGCCTGTTGGGAGGATTTTAGGAATAATTATCTAGGTATTTTAGCTGGCAATTCTGAGGACTTACTAGCTAGGAAGTAAAATTAACTGCTCTTTTATGCTATCGAGGCGGTTGGTGCATTCATGAGGGATTTCAGCAATATGTTTTTTTTTTTTGGTTTCATCTCCATGAGTATACGAATGTGGACACTGGCTTGACACAGCCTGTCTTTGTTTTCCCTCCTGTTCTTTGTCTTGTTTTTCCCGATACAATGTATCACGAATTAACTTCTTAAATACAGTAAAGACCTGGTCAGAATGTTTTGCAATTGCTACACACAAAGTTAAACAATTTTGTAGTTGTTTGTGGGCATGCAGTACCCAAACATCAGAGGACAGCTAGTTGAAGAGTTTTTAGATGAAAGTTGGGATGGGGTGCTGAACATGAATTTTATATATTTTCTTTAAAAGAAGGAAGAATGTTAATTATATTTTCCAAGCTGATGCCGATGCTTTGGAGAATTCAAGTTCTTGATTTTGAAATGTGGAATGAATATATATGAGCTCAACAATCATATAACAAGATATGTGATAAGAGTAAATGCCTAAAGGATGGTGAAAAGGAGGTCCGAAACACCATGAGTTTAAGTAGACATAAAGAACTCTTGATATGTAATAATTGAGGGTCTTCGAGAGCAAAATACTTCAACTCTAATACACAAACTAGATGATGATGCTGTCTGATTCGGTTTCGATAATCTGTCGGGGATCGGTATGTATGTTAGGCCATCCTATTATTGTAGGAAATTAACCCAAAGAACAAAACAATGTGGTTCTAGCTAAGAAGGTTAGATGATTAGCCTGTTTTAGCTTTTGGTGCAAAATGAAGGCACCAACTGATGATCACTTTCAACTATTGGGTTGGTCTAGTTAGCCTGATCAGATGAGCCGCCTCACTTTTACGTTACTCTAACTCAATGTATCGAGCATGGCCTTCGTTGCTAATTCTATCCCTTTCCAAGCCAACGATTTAGACAACTTGGTGCTTGTTATAATGGATGGATAAGTGATTTCAAGTCAGCATCACCGCTTGAAGTTCCATGGCATCCACTTACATTTTGTAGCTGTAAATTTTAACTCAAAAGTATGTAACTATTCTATCTCTAAAATTTTGTAACACGTAGCAGAGGATGTCTGAGAGTATAATATTAATTATTTTTTGAATAATTTCTTGAAAACACCGTTTCAAAAACATTCCTATACAGCACTTAATCTTATCTTATCTATGTGGTGAGTTTTAGTGATAAGTAATAGTCTTTCCTTGGGTTTGCCTTTCCTTCGTATTCCATGGTAGCATCACACACACACACACGCACACACACACGCATGGTGTTGAGGGAACATTTTTTCTACTATTGACAAAGTTGAACTTCCATCTGCTATTTTTTCTGCAGGTGATTTCAGCAGTAAAGAGAAGAATACATATCAAATGCATATGTTCTTGAAATATTAGGTGCACATCAAGATTAAAATTTAAGCTTAAAGCAAGGGAGAATGTGGAAATTAACCTAGTAATGACACCTTAAAGCAATGGGGAATCTTATCCCATAGCTAAGCTTGGATTGTTCATCACCCTCCTGGCCTCTCTATTGAGGTGATACGATCTAGCACAAAGGTACTTGACACGTGACAAGATGTAGTACAAAGGTACTCCACACACATCTTAACTAGGACTTGCAATCTACATGCATGATAAGCCATAGCCATAATCCTTATTTAATCTTACAACATGGCATCATGCATAAGATCTTGTATTCCCTTATTATTATTTTTTTAAGTTGAGTTTTATGATTTAATTCATAGATGTTTCAGTTTTATTACTCTTCCCCCTTCTCAAGAGCATGGTTGTTTTTTGTATTTTTAAAAATGTTTTTTAAAAGAAAGGATTGTTTTATTTTTTTTTTGTTTTAAATTAATTTTTTTATATTATTTTAATGTGCTGATATAAAAAATAAATTTTAAAAAATAAAAAAAATATTATTTCAATATATTTTTATATAAAAATTATTTTGAAACTTTATGATAAATGATGAAACTTGTCGTGAGATTATGATAGCATATGTCATTCTCTGTTTAATTTACAAGCAAACTTCTTGTATAAAAATAAGTTTTTTTTAAAAAAAATTAGGAAAGTTAATAAAAATAATCTGTGAACTATAGCATAGCTAAGAAAAAACTAAATTGTTGTGCCTCCTTATAAAAAAAAAAATTAAGAAGGTTGAGCTACATCATTAAAAAAAAAAAACTATTAAAAGACTATTTATGGATCTATTAAATGAGACTATAGTTACAAGTAATTTTGAAAAATTACCTAAAACCTTGAGCTTTTCCTTTGGACATTTAAAAGTTATACTTTGCATATTTAGTTGAGAAAACCTTATATACTGACCTACAATTGTTATTATAATTGATTTAATATTCAAAGTGCGCTTTATATTTTTATATCTTCTTATCCCTCCTTCCATTGCTTTGGATTCCAAATCAAAACCAAGTATTTCTCCTTTGCCCACCACTATATCAACATGACTACTACCACTCCCTTCACCCACCATGCACTCTCTATCCCAAAAGACAAACAACCACTAGTCAGAAAAGATTCTAGACAATTCTTTCAACTTGGCGACTCTAGGGTTCTTCCATACAGCACCCACTAGCTATGGATTTGCTTTGTTCTTGAAAGAAGCTGGATGCACTAGCTCTTTAAGTTTGAGATTTTATTTTTAATTTCTGGTTTGGATTTGGGGTATCGTTAAGGATAAAGATTGTGGGGGCTGACTTCATGGGTGGTTTTGTTGTTGGGTTTTGCAAGGTTTTTTTAACGTAGTTTTGATATCAATTAATGTAGCCCGGACACAAGACAAAAACAACATAAGAAAAGTTTTGATATAAACTAACACAAATGAAAACAACAAAGCTAAAAAGCTAAAATTCTGCTGAAAAGGTTTCCATCCTAAGAATCCCACTTCAATTTTTTATATTATTCAAATATTTTCAGCTACTTATATACTAAGAAAAATAATTAAAGAGTTTTAAACTAAAAAAAGACATCCTAAACATTTTAAGGACTACACAATGACTTCTAGGCCTAACTTAAGGGCTTAACAATCTCACATGGCTAAAAGATCAGATCCTATATGGAGTAGGATCTCCTGATTCTCCTTCAAAAATTTTAGCATAAGACTATATATGTTTAGCCAAAAATTATGTGTATCGTAGTTTAAAATAATTCAGAGGATAATTTTTTTTTTTATTATTATTAGGCAAATTGATGCAAAGCTTCTTTTAGATTATTTTTAATGGGTTTTATGTTTGGTAAACACAATATACGACTCACCTTTTCTTATCCTGGCCAATCTAGCAGGCTCAATTAACTTGACAAGGAAGCTGAATCTCTCCCACATTATCAAGGTATCAATCACTTCGTGTCTTCTTTTCTATTGCTGTTTATATATATAGGAATCAATTGTTTGATATGTGGAAATTTCATTTTGGGTTTAATAAGTTTCTTAATAAGTGAAAATTAAGCGTGACTTGTATTCAAAATCTCTCATTTTTTTTGTGTTTTTCTATGTTAATAGCATTATATTGTTCAAACATAGATTATTAACTATGTGAATGGATTCGACTAAGAGCTGTCATTTGAATTTGAGTTGAGAATGATAGAAATTAATGTGTAACCTTATTTGTAGCATGTTAGTAGTGTTAAGGTTGTATATTCCAATATAATTGGTTGCATGTTGTTGTTAGGATTTTGGATAATATGATTGTTGTGGTTGAGGATTATAAGATGATTTTTTTTTTTTTTGTAATCTCATATGGCAAATTCTGCCGGGAGACTAAATGATGATGAAATTGCTGACAGAAAATTCCGTCTGTGTTTTTTAATTTTCTGGTAGTGTAAACAAGATTAATAAAAGATATGGTGACAGGAGTTTGGAGAAATATTCCTAGGCAAGGAGGGTTGTGGTGCATGTAACGGTTGCTTAGAATGAGTGTAGGATGATATTAACTAAGATAGGGTCTTGTGTTTAATAGGTTGGTGAGATCCAAATGCTAGCAAAACCAATTTATGTACTCCGGGGATGGAAAATATTTGGTCAATTATCTGTGGGAAACATCTTACATGATGAAAAATGCGGGCTGTGCTAGTTCGTTTACCTTAAATCAGTGAGGAAAGACACTTCTTGATTTCACAATCTGTTAAAACCAATGACCAGAGTGCCACAAGAATTTCTTCATGCCTTTTTTTTTTTTTCAAATTTTACTCTTAATTAATAATATCCTCTTTACACTATCAACAGAATTTCTATGCTGAAAACATGAATCTTGTAGCTGAAAGTCAGACGATGCTAAGGAATCTAGAAATTTTTCTGAGAGATGGAGGCTTTAACTTTCCTTGAGAACAACATAGGATGGAGAAATTCTTTTTCTGGTTTACTTGAGCAGACGAGAAGGGGAATAGCTTCGAAGTTAAAAGTATGACCAAAGATGCAGCATGGGGGCTGATCTCTAAGGACAGCACAAGGGCAATTGTTTGAACTGTCTACGATTTCCTGTATGTCAGAATATAGCCCGGTGAATTCCAAGCAGTTTTAGGAAATTTCACAGAATAAGCAATACCACTATCAATACTACGTGCTCAAGTAGTTAACGAAATTAGGCTTTTCTTCTTTTATGGTTTGTAGTGGGGAATTGAAACTTGGGCAAACTCCTAAGCCTCAACCTTAAATTTTTTTTCTCACCGATAATGATCATATGGCTGATGAAATTGCATGTTTCCTATGTGTTGAGTTAATCTCTTGAGGGTTTTTGGTTGCTGTAATGATCACCATTTTACACTATGAAAAGTGCCTGGCTGGAAATTGTTCTCTTCCAATCATGCCCCAAGAGCACCTTGTTCATATGCTGAAATTTCAAGAATATTGCAGACACTAAGCGAACGCTACTTGCATGAATGACAATTCATGATGCCTAGTGCATTATTTTCCTGCTTGCTATGTGTCACCTACTATATATTATCTATCATCATACTGAGCAAGCTGAATTAAGCTCTAGAGTTGAATCATCCGGTGAATTCCTTAAAGAACCTGAGTATGAGGTAGTGGGTGCATGAGTACTTCAGGGTTTCCATGTGTTTATAATACCAAGATTTCAAATTCCAAGTTGGGATTAGTCCTAAATTGAGTGATTGCAGGATTGTGATGCACTGGATTAGCATATAATTCTCAGGACTTGCGAATTCTAGTTGCAATTTAACTGATAATTAACGAGTTGAGATTTCTAGGTTTCCTGTTGGTTTTGATTTACAACTTTTTCTTTCTTTCTTTTTCGTTTTTCTTTTTCTGTGGAGTCGTCAAAAATCAGATTGCTGAAATTACAACACTCTCTTACAGGTAGATGATGAAGAATATAGAGCCTCATGCCTGCTTGTATAGACAAGCTCGCCTGATGCCTACTTTCTGGTTTTAGTTTTCTTGTGAATTACAGAGAACTATGTCTAGGGTTTCGTTACCTCTACCAAAAAGTATCAACCAAAATAAATAAATAAAAAGGTACTATAAACTCCAAAATCATATTGAAATAATAGAAAGAAGCAGCAGAAAATTTTCAAGTGCATGCTTTTATGTTCTATAATGCAAGAGAAAGCAAGCAGATATTGATGGCTTACATGAAACTTGGGCAGCGGATACAAGGGCGGACTCGAGTTTTCACCAGGTCCCTGCATACATCGGCTTCGACAGCCTTAAAAGATCTTGCATGGAAAGAGAGGGGAGATGCTGAAACAACTGCACACGATTTTTACTAGATCTTTGGAGAAAGAAATCCGCAGAAATATGACTTACCTAACGTTTTTTCAGTGCCTGAGCTTGATTTTTTTTATGGATAAACTTGTATGACAGGGTGTGGAAACAGTTTATCCACTTCTTTTCTGACTGATGGGGACACAAAATAGTGCCATGGCGGGAAAATACAGGGATGATTCCCATATCCCAACTGTTTCTTCTTCCAGTAGGTTGTACCGTTATCTGTACTGTTTTTGAGAAGTACTGTGTTTTGAGAACAGGGCATTTTGTGACTCCATGATTTCACTTCTATTTTTTTCCCTCTAGGAGGCACAAATTGGGCTCTAGGGCTCTGAACTTAGTGGTACATGATTCCAAGCTTCATCGTATGGTTTGTAATGATTAGAAGTAAAAACTCTGACCAAATGGATCCATGCATTCTCGTTGATCCTGGTGAATTAATTGGCTGGCAGCTTTAGCTTTTGGTGAGAATTTGGAAACCCTAATATATTCTATCATTTGCCCTAGTAATGGATAGACACAAAATTAATACCCTACCCCCCTCTTGCTTGTAGACTAGTACGAAACTAAAAGCCTGATGGTTATGTGAACGCGAACCGGCAAGTACTATCTCAATATGACATGACAAGTAGCTAATCCAGGCACACGGCAAAAAATTGCTTAGAAAAACGAGGGGCTTCCTTCTTCCGTTCTAGTTAAATTGATTATGTGAATCTTGATACACAACCTTGAAATTGCTAAACGAACTGTGCTGAGATAAGAACAACGGGCAGTGTCATAACTGATTAAGATTGTACATCAATTTTGATTTTACTGCTAGTCAGTGTCAACTGATGGTGGACTTGCCGTGGGGGGAACTCGGACCATTCTCAGTTGGTCAACCCGTCCAGTCACATCATGCTTTAATAATGGTCACTGACTTTTAGCGAGGGCTCCAGCAGCGAAAAGCAGATTCCTACGGGAAAACTGTCCCAATAATATAGTACGAAGGTTATGTACTGGAAAACTAATATCAAAAGGCATAAATAAGATACGAAATCAAGTTTAAGGAGTTGAGCTTTTAGAGAATTACCCTCAAAGTGTAAACTGGAGTAGACTTCGTCGGCAAAGTTTTTAACAATCTCAATCTGTTTGTATTTCCACTCTTGCTGATTAAATGAAACAGGTACTGTAAATGGCCCCGCCAAAAAAAAAGTTCAAAAGATGAGACATAACGAGCTACTTTCACAGGGAAACTTACCTTTCTTCTGTCCTTGGGGCCTTTGTGCTTGTAGTAACATCCCATAATTTTACAGTACAGTCAGCTGAACCAGATGCTAGAAGAGATCCTTCACAACTGGCATTCAAGATGAGAAAAATAAGTTTTGTTAGAAATCTAGCCATCAATGACTAAAGAAATATTGACAGAGTCCAAAACGTTGTTTTGAAATTTCTTCTAGTGTCCCTAGGATTTGCACCTGAAGGCGAGTGCCCATACGCATGAATTGTGGCCTATCAAAGGTGATATGCAGCGGCCACTAGAGAGGTCCCACATCATGATTGTCCCATCTTCATCAGCAGATGCCATATATCGACCATCAGGTGACATGGCCAATGATAAAATCATACTCCTATGACCAATAAAAATGCGGACACACTCCCCGCTTTGTACATCCCACAGTCTAACTGTTTTGTCACTGGAGCCAGTGGCGATGTAGTTGCAGTTGGCATGCCATTGCAAGCACTGAAATATATGGAATCCAATTCAATGTAGCTGATATTGCAGAATTAGAAAACAAAGGAAAGTATTTTCCTGAATTTGCTGACTTAATATTATACATAGAGCAGGCTCAACATGATAAATTCATCCTCGGTCGCTACAAAAATTTATGAGGGAGGTTAACTTGAAGAATGAATTTGGCCCGTTTCTTCTATTTAAATATCATGAACTACTTTGTTGCAACCAAATCCAGACTACCAGACCAATAAAACAGATGTAAAAGCTACTTACATCAACATCAGACAAATGACCTGCCATTATCCTCAAAGGCTGTATCCTATCCATAGACCAAATCCTTGCTGTGCGATCATGTGAAGCACTGGCAAAATATTGTCCCACAGGACTGAACTGCACGAATAGTTTAGTATGAACACATGAGAAGTGAGGCATGACCATTTAGTATTTATGGAAATCTCTGCTACCTCAATTTTGATCACGATCATCAAAAGACAATGGATGGATAAAACGATAAGATCGAATCAAAACAAAGTAGGAAGTTCCAATTTATACCTGAACATCCCAGACAGGGTAATTATGGCCCTTGTAGCAAACAAGATTTGCATTGAGTTTTGTGCTCCATAATCGAACTGCAGCAGAGCAGCGTGTCGTTTGCAAAAGAAATAAAATAAACAAAAGTAAAAAACAAAAGAAAACTTCCATGTTTGCAGAGAGAGAAATAAGCAGAGAAATGATAATCTAAGAGAATATACCTGTCGTATCTGCTGAAGACGACAAAATAAAATCCCCAGCAGGGCTAAAAGTGGTTGAATGAACTGGACCTGAATGACCCTGAAACAATGTATAAGATCTTTTGCCACTGTTTGTACTCTGGCCTGGTTCACTCGGAGAAGCATCATTTTCACCCTGCAAAATAGCTGACAGCAGAAACATTTTCCATTATAACTCCTCTTTGCCCAGTATGTTTTAACATGAAAACCAGCATCTAAGCATGGCCACAATGACAACCATATCAGAAAGATAGAATTCTCAATTATGATGGACTAACATCTACAGTGTTTTTTCATTATGTCTCTGTAGTAGCTCTTTGGCTGGACTATAATTGAGAATTTTCCAAATGGATAATGTACAAAAAACACACAGAACAATTCATCAAAACTCGGTATTTACACCATCTAAAATACATTTTGAATTAGTAAAGTGTCATAAGAGATGATTTGCATAGTACTTTACTGCTGCTGGAATCGAAGAAATAAGAAATTATCAAACAAACTAATCCTTTGGAGAGATTTACAATTGCCAGCTTGATGTCCAAGCTTTGCCATGTCCCAAACCTGTAAAGGCACAGATCAGAATTAGCAACAGCAGCGGCCAACATGTTGGATTTGGGTCAAGTATGGGAGGCAACCTTCAGTGAGGAGTCTGAGAATCCACCAGCAATCAAGGATCCATCATGTGAAATTGATGAACAGTTTAAACTGAAAGAAAACTCAAATAAAAAAATGAACAATTGATCATGTAAAAAAATTGAGAAGCTTGATAAAAACACATAAGTTCTGAAATTACCCATTATGCGTGTTGATAAAGGTATAAAAGCTGACAGATGGCAGTGTCACACTACTCAACTGTACACGGTTTCTCAAGTCCTCAAGAATAGACTGTTCCACCTCAGTTGGCCTGAAGGAACTGTTACTTTATTAATTATCAGAAATTAAGAATGCAGCCCTAACTTATGTTAGCAAAAGAATCAAATGTTTATTCCTGTTGGACCTAAGTCACGCAAAATCCTTATAGCAGAGACATCATAAAATATAGTCACGTGGGAAAAGATGCAAGGCCAAGTTCACGCTGTATACATTATGAGCCTAATTTGGTTCCAGGGGTCAATGATAAAGCATGGTAATATAATAGATTAATCAAATGAGGAAGATGACAGGATAAAGGAAATGAGACTTTGAACAGTCAACAAGCGTGCCTGTAAAAACCTCATTAATCTAGTTGATAGAGACGAGGGGTATAGTTATTATGAATCCATAGACCAGTTCCCCATGGAACCCAGCTTCTGTTCATAGTCACACTCAGGGGCGGAACCAGAAAATAAAATTAAGGGGGGCCAAAATGTTAGTTGTTTTATTATTTAGGTTAAAAATATAAATATTGTTAAGGGAGGGGCTGGAAAAAAAATTTCTTTGCTGTCAGCCCCCCCCGCCTCCGCCCCTGGTCACACTCACACCATGCTGAGGACATGTAAAGTAACAACTTACCTTGGTTAGGTGTTATTAAACATTAATGCATGCTCATGTTTTTCAGCACCTAATTAAAGCGAGTTTGTCACCTTGCATGTCCTCATAACATGCCAAAATGACATGTCCATTTTATTCTAACACACCTGAAAGCACATATGATGTGTTACAAGATGTTAAATATCATGTGTTCAAGTGTGTTGAACAAGATTTGTTGAATAAGAATTCCTACGTGTATAATATGCAAGGCTTCTCAATAGTTTATAAAAGGGAGCCATAAAGCTTGTGACAGGATCAAACTTCCGATGTTCGTATACATTATCTTCTCTTTAGCCTTGGCCTTTTATGCAACACCCTCCTCTTTGTTAGCCTAGTAGATATCACCACCATCCATGTCCCATTTAGATAATATATATATCACAACAACGCCATTGATCTAATGAAGAAAATGACTTGGGATTCGAGAAAATACATTACTGGCAAAGGAAGCTCGGGTTTGACTCGTGGTACTGCAGATACTGTATTAGCTTCAGGACGAGCAATTTTAGTTGTTGCACTAGCAGCTTTATCCTTTTTTGACTTTTTGATTGAAGCTCCTTGCTTTCCACCATCTATTGATCTTTTCTGAATAAGATGTTGATGACATCAATGTAAGGAATAACTCAAACTTTAACAGAAAGGAAAACCTATAGGGCAATAAAAGTAGAAATAGCATATATTACAAAATTAAATTAAAGACAAGCAAGAATTATTAAGTATATGAAATCCGCATCAAGGAAATTATGGAGGAGAAGCAGGATTTGATGAGTATTATACCTTATTCTCATCCATGTCCCCCTCTTTGGTTTCTCCTTCTGTCTTTTTAGAATCTGAGAGAAAACCTCCCGTCTTCTCCAATCGTTCTTCTATAGAATCTTCAAGCAACTATAGCAAACAGAGAAAAGCTCAAAGTTAACACCTAAACAACAAAAGCAATAAAAATAACTAATAACTTCCTAATTTACCACCAAGATGAAGAATGCACTCACCCCCCAACGTATTTCTTTTTTATTTATCTGATTAGCTGCATCCTGGCTGCTTCCAATTAATGTTACAGCATCAGGATCATCAGAAATTGAGATGGGTTGTCCAGGAGAAACTGCCAATATAAAAGAACTTGTATTTTCTACAGGGTCCACCAAATTCTTAATGAACTGGACATGCAGATGCAACTAATTCGGAAGTAAAATGTACCTTGGAAGTTAATATGCTCATTGACAATCCCCAGAATTATAGCGCATTTTGACTTCCGAAGATGCTGCAAC